CTCCATTTTGTAACTGAGGAAACTGAGGTAAATGCTCAAGTCTGAACTCAAGTCTTCCTGAGTCCAGGGGCAACTGGGTGGCTCACTGGATAGAGTGCTGTGCCTGGAGTCAGGAAAACTCCTCTTCCTGAGTTCAAATCCGGCCTCAGACACTTACTAAGTGCTGAATGACCTTGGGCAAGTCACTTAACCCTGCTGGCCTCAGTCTCCTCATCTATCAAATGAGGACACTGGAGAAGGAAATGGCAAACTACTCCAGCATCTCTGCCAAGAAAACCCCAAATGGGGTCACAAGAGTCATGTGATTGAAAAAACCGAATAAGAAACTTCCTGAGTTCAGCCTTTTTTGGGGGCTTTTACTGGACAATCCTGACCTTGAGGATGCAAGAAGAATACGACCAAGAAGGAAAAAACATCTCAAACAGAAAGAAAACAAAAATCATACCAAAATGCAAAAAGCTTAGGCCCCTTAAGATGTAATAATAGGAAAAGGAAGCGCAGTTTACTCCAGGCTTCACTTCCTCCCTTCGAGGAATGAATCCTGGATCTAAATGGTCGTTGTAATTCACAGTGGGTCTCTTCATGTCTACACATACGTTACAGTGAGTGGGAGCCAGCACCACCAACACCAGGCCTGCCAACCCCAAAAATAACACACCTACACCATCAGGGATCCTCATCAAGGTACAAAGGCCCACACAGGCAGGTCACAAATAGGTCACTACCTCCTCATGTACGTAGCCTGTCTCTGAGACACAGGTGATATGACGTATCTCCCTGTACCACTACCTACTTAATGTGCTCCTGGCCGCCATCTAGGACTTGACCCTCCCTAGGAACTCTGGGGGAAAGAGGGCCTGTTGGGGAAGGGCACGGAAGGAAGGGATAAATGCTCAAACTCTGCCCCATTACTAGTCAGCTCCCACACTGGCTGATGGGCTTTGCCCCTATGACATTACCCATGGCCTCCCTATGCTCTCATTTCATTTGATTTAACCATCAACATCACGTGACAAGGCATCTATTACATCACCAAAAAGGCCCAAACTGTTATCTACCACCTCCCCTCCTTCCATTTTTTCAACTCACCCTCTGCCGTAACTTCCACCACCACGTCTCAATCATCCCATGACATACTAGTTACACTGCCTTCTTGGCACCTCCCACCCCTCTAAGTGGGATGTTTCTAAAAAAGCATACAAAGGATGACCAGAGCCAGGACCACCCCATCTGCTTCTACTGGTGGTGGTGGTGTTCACAATACTCAGATTTTATAGAGATTTTTGTAGAGCTGATCTACCTGATTTCTGCTAGGTTGATCTGCATCCACATAGGGTAAGAACTTACAAAACATTTTCCCCTTTGGATTTCTGCCAAGAGATCTGCATGGATCTTACACAACTTGGAAATCAGGTCAAATGGAACTCCCTATGCCAGTACAGGCCTAAGGATTTCTTACCATGCTCCGAAATGTTTTCATAAGAAGCAGTCCAGGGAAGATCTTATCAACGAGTTGATGTTGGCTACGGGGGATGAGGACAACCCTGAGAGTCTGTGGGAAATGAAGAGTGAGGCCTTGAGGAGTAATCAAGGAAACAGATTTGTCACCATTACAGACACTGACTGGACTGTGTCCTTCACTCAGCACTGAAATTTCCAGTGTCCAGATCCCAAACCCATTGACTAGGGGTGATGTAATATCCAAAAGGTATAACTAGTGATGTCTTTAGGGAGGAAGGGTGGTGCCAAGGGAGCATGATGAGGATGGCTGAGATATAGTAGCTGAAGTCATGGCAGAGTTTGAGTTCATGAAATGGGGGGGGGGGGTTTGGATAATGATTTGGGTATTTTTGGTGATGTAACAGGGGGCTTGTCATGTGATATGATGATCAAGTCAAGTGATGTCACAGGGACACTAAGTGTCACTGGCACCCTACCGCCTTTAAAATAAACAAAAACATTCTGTGGTTTGACATTAGAATCCATCACACTCTGTCACCTACTAAGCTTTCCAGACTAATTTCACATTACTCCTTTTCCCATGTTCTATATTCCCGTCAAAATGACGTAAATGTTGTTCCCCCTCAACCACATTTCATCTCCTGTCTCCTAGCCTTTGCAGAGGCTTCCTGACCCCATTACTAGAATGTTCTCACTCCACAGATCCAACTCATTCAATCTCTCAATCCACCGAAGCCTCAGCTAAAGAGGAGTCATCTCCTTCAAGAGAATTTTTCTGATGGAAAGTAACTGTGAGGATGAAAGATAGGAACAGGGGTTATCAGACATAAGGAAAAGTAGAATGAGTGTGATCAGAAAATGGAATTCTGGTGTCCAGGAACATGGAAGCTTAAGACTGATTTTACTCTCTCCAAGCAACATCAATAAGAAGAAAATGTCAGAAGTCAAACTGAATTTATTAATTATAACAAAAGTGAATGTTTTGAAGTGTTTCATTAAATGGAAATGAGTTATACAATGGATCAAGAAATTACAGGAAAAATATTAATATTTAATAATTAATATTAATGGATACACATATGGTTAGACTAAATTTGAAATGGCTAGTTTTTCCTCTATTATGAACCGTGTGATTCAGATAAAGTTTGTACAACCAGGACCCAATTACTACAAAGAATGAATCCTGTGAAGTGGTCTCATGATTTGAATATGTACTTCATATTTCCACTGGAATCAACTTCACCTTTTACATAATCAGGAATTCAAATAGTATTAATCTGAATATATGCAACTGCTTCACAAGATTCATTAATTGCACTAACTGGTATCTAGCTATATTGTGTAAGAAAACTTTCAAATATTTCATCTTTGTGAACTTACACCAGCGTGACTCCTCTCATTCTTTTTCCTCCCTCCACTGGCGACAGACACCAGACTTCATCCTGAAGGTCCTGAAGGACCCCAGTGGGAATCGCTGCCCACCAGGACCAAGCTTTCCCCTTCCTCACCCCAAATCCTCTTCCAACTTTTCTGCTGATGCTCCCTTACCCTTAGCCTCTCCTGGACAGACTCGGAATCTCTACCTCCAACCACCTAGACTGTCCTCTCCGCTCTGCCCCTTAGACCCCTTCTCCCATCGCTAATGATGGTGAGTAGCCACTATTAGACAGAAGGACTCTTGGGCCTTACCATCGTCCAAATAACTGGACCCAGAGGACGTCTGGGCCTTTCCAACCTCACTGCAGCTCAACTCTTCTACATGTGCTGTCTTCCTCAATTAGAGCATGAGCTTCTTGACAGAAGGGACCACCTTGCAATTTTATCTGCATACCCAGCACTTAAGTCAGGGGCTTGGCACCTACTAAGCTTAAATGCTTTTTCATTCATCCTTATCTGAAGTTTTATAATGTTTGAACTGCTACAGAAGGTTTTTCTACACACATTATATTTAAGGCTTCTCTACAGCATGGGTCAGCTGAAGTTTAGTAGAGTATGAGGAGTTACTGAAATCTTTCCCTAATTCATTGCATTTATAAGGCTATTTTCCATTATGAATCCTCTGATGGTTAATGACCCAAGAAGGCCTTGCCATATACACATTACATTTATAGTTTCTCTTTAAATTCTATGATGTGCATTAAGAACTGAACTCTAAATACTTTTGTTATAGAGAAAAGCTATCTATACAATATGAATTATCTGATATACAATAAGACTTAAATTGTAAATGAATGCTTTCTGACATTCATTACATTCATACATCCTCTCCAGTACATATCCTCTGATGTAGGAACAAAGGGTACTTCTGAGTGAATGCTTCCCCATGTTTATTGCATTTATAAAGCACAACTCTGCTGCTGAACCAAGTCTGAGTTTTTAGTAAAGGCATTCCCACACTAAGTTTTCTTTCCAATGTGCACCTTCTGATGTCTGATGAGGGGGCCCTTTCTAGCGAAGGCTTTCCCACACTCCTCACATTTATAAGGCTTCTCTCCAGTATGAGTTCTCTGGTGCTTAACAAGGGTTGATCTTTGAGTGAAAGCACTCCCACATTCATTACATTGGTGTGGCTTCTCTCCAGTATGGATCCTCTGATGTAGGATCAAGTGGGACTTTTGATTGAAGGCCTTCCCACATTCATCACACTTATAAGGCTTCTCTCCAGTATGAATCCTCTGGTGCTTAACCAGAATTGAGGTGTCAATGAAGGCTTTCCCACATTCCTTACATTTGTAAGGCTTCTCTCCAGTATGCATCCTTTGGTGTAGGATCAGGTTGAACTTTCGAGTGAAGGCTTTCCTACAGTCATTACATTCATAGGGCTTCTCGCCGGCATGAATTCTCTTGTGCTTAGCAAGGGCAGAGCTCTCGGTGAAGGCTCTCCCACATTCATTGCATGGGTAAGGCTTCTCTCCCGCATGGATGATCTGATGCAGTGCCAGGTGGGACTTCTGCGTGAATGCTTTCCTACATTCCTTACAGATATACGGCTTCTCTCCAGTATGAATCCTCTGGTGCTTTACAAGGGAAGAGCTCTCAATGAAGCCTTTCCCACAATCCTTGCATATATATGGCTTCTCTCCAGTATGAATTCTCTGATGCTTAACAAAGTCTGAACTTTCAATGAATGCTTTTCCACATTCTTGACATTTGTAAGGCTTCTGTCCCGTATGAGTCCTCTTGTGCCTATGAAATTCCGAATTAGAAATAAAGGCTTTCTCACATTCATTACATTTGTAAGGAGTCTCTCCAGTATGGATCCTCTGGTGCTTAACAAGGTCTGACACTTGTCTGAAGGCTTTTCCACATTTATTACACGTGTAAGGTTTCTCTCCAGTGTGAATCCGCTGGTGTCGAGTAAGTCCTGAGTTTTTAGTGAATGCTTGCCCACACTCAGGACATTTATAAGGCTTCACATCAGCCTGGATTTTCTGATCTTCAGTGAGGTTTGAGCATTGACTGAAGGTTTTCCCATATTCACTATATTTATCACTTTTAGCTCCAGTGTGACTCTTCTGAGGTTTAGTTAACTTCCTCACCTCACTCTCCTCCTTTATTTGCTCCCTCTTTTTCTGGCTCTCACTATCTACACCTTCCCCCAAAGTGGAGTAGCAAAAGTCAGCCCCTCCAGGTCTTTCAACTTTCACCACCGGGGATGACTCGTCTCCTGGAATATTCTCTTTTGGAGTTGACTTTGTGGTCTCAGTCCTAGGTTCCAAGTCTGAAAGACATTAATATAAAGGGTGAATGTCCCCATTTCTCAGCCTTGAGAAAGGACACTGGGAATGAGGAAATGAAACTGAAAAGGCTACTCAGAGGAAGGAAGCACACTGTGGAATACTATTAAAAATCTCCTCTATGATTTCTCTAAAATATTATTTCTTAATATTTCATCTGGTCTAAAAATCCTTTCCAGATTTCTCCATTTTAAAGTGTGTAGAAGGTCAAGAACAAAAGGATTTTCTTAGGGAAATAAAATTAGGATGGAAAGCAAACTTTGAGCAAAGGTATTTCTTGTCATATTAAAATCACTGTCTTAATGCCCTAGTGTCTGATAAACTGGAACACATAAATCACTTGCTTAGATCATATTCTACAATACATTCTAAATTAATACATGACCTTAATTACAAAAATCATACCACAAAAAAATTAAAAGAGATGCAGATCATATACTTTTTCATAGATATGGAGAGATATACGAATGGTTCTAAGATAAAAATAAGTCTCAAGAGAATTGCAAATTAAAGACCATATTAAAAAATGCTCCACCCACATGTACAAAAATACTCATAGCAGTTCTTTTTCTGGTGGCCAAGAATTGGAAATCGAGGGAGTGTCATCAACTGGGGAATGGCCGAACAAGTTGTGACACATGAATGTAATGGAATACTATTGTGCTATAAGAAATGATAAGTAGGTGGATTTCACAACAACCTGGAAAGACTTATACGAACTGATGCTGAGTGAAGTGAGCAGAACCAAGAGAACACTGCACACAGTAACAGCAACATTGTGCGATGACTAACATTGATACACTGAGCTCCTGTCAGCAATTCGAGGATCTGAGACATCTCAGAAAGACTCACAATGGAAAATGCTGTCCACATCCAGAGAAAGAACTATGGAGTCTGAATACAGATTGAAGCATACTATTTGCTCTCTTTTTTGTTTTTTTTGCTTTGTTTTGGTTCTTCTTTCTCATGGTTCCTCCCATTGGTTCTAATTCTTCTTTACAACATGACTAATGTGAAAATGTGTATGGGACTTCTCAACCTCCTATAGCAAGGTACTGTTTTGTTTGTTTGTTTGCATGGGTAGAGCACAGCATACCCACCAGCTGACTCCTGATGAGGTTCCCAGAATCTGACCGTTTAAGTGGAAAGACAAATCTTTCAAACATCAGGAAAAAAGCTGTTGTGTGATTCCGATCTTGTCAGTCACCTTGTGTAGTGCATAGCGTACAGTGTATAGTGATAGACTTTAGACCATGCACCAGAAGCCCCTTCTCAACAGCAAGACTTGACTCTAATACAATGACCAACCACAATTCCAAAGGGCTCTCTATGAAGTGAAGCGTGCTGCCCTTCCCCCTGACAGGGAGAGGATGAACTCAGAGGGCAGATCAAACACACTTTTTCTGCATATAGCCAATGCAGGAATTTGTTTTGCTTGACTGCACATGTTTGTAACAGGGGTTTTCTTTTTCTTGCTTTCTCGATAGAAGAAGGTGGGAGAGAAAGAAAGCAAATTTTCATTTGAAAATAAAATTTACTCCACAATACATTCTAAACAGATACATGATCTCAATATAAAAGACTATGCTACAAAAAAATTAGAAGAGAAACAGATCATGTACCTCTCAGCTACAGATATGAGATATATTCTTAACCAAACAAGAGATATAGGCAATTACAAAAGATAAAACAGATAACTCTGATTCCCTGAAACTGAAAAGCTTCTGCAAAGACATTAATGCATCAATGATAAGAAAGGAAGTGGTTGAATAGGAAAAAAAAAATCTTTACATTAAATTTCTTTGAAAAGGGTTTGGTATTCAAGATATATAAACAATTGATATATACATACACACACACACACACACACACACACACACACACACACACACATAAAAAACTAACGGCCACGACTATCTCAGCAGACAGGCTAAACCAGGTTGACAGAGGTCTCAGACCCATCAGTGAGTTAGAGGGATTGTCTCCCACAAAGATGTGAAGACTTCCCCCAGTGGAATGGACAGGTAAGAACAATTTGTACGGAACCCTTAGAGCTTGGTCAGACATTAAATACCCCACGGTCATGCAATGCATCCCCGGTCATCGACAGCCATCTTGACTTTGGTCCTGCAACTGGACTTCAATGAGTACAGCCAGCGACTGGGTACAACTCTGCCTCACTTCAATCTAATTCACATGCAAGCATCACCCATGATATCACTGGACCTCTTCAAAAATGAAGGACAAATATCAACCAATGGTCAAAGGACATGAACAAACAGCTCTCAAAAAAAGAAATGTGGGGGCAGCGAGGTGGTGCAGTTGATAGAGCACCGGCCCTGAAGTCAGGAGGACTTAAGTTCAAATCCAGCCTCAGACACAACATTCACTAGCTGTGTGTCTCTGGGCAAGTCACTTAATCCCAACTGTCTCACTTTAAAAAAAAAAAAAAAGAAAAAGAAGAAGAAATGCAAAGTATTCACAACTACATGGGGGAAAAGCACTAATACAGAGAAATGCAGATCAAAACAACTCAAAGGTTTCAAAAATGACCAAAAAAGGCAACAGTCAATGTTGGAGGGAATGCAAGAAAAAAGGCACCCTAGTGGAATGGGATGGCTTAAAAGTTTGTTTATAAAGTACAGCTGTTACTTATGATGAACTGTCCAGAACATTTTCTCTTCGAAGTCTGGTTGCTTGGCCTGCCTGTGAATGCCACTAAAATGGAAACCTCCTCCCACTACTCTCCCCTCATTCCCTGGGTAGTAAAGAAAGGGAGTTTGTGTCCAGAACCCCTTTTTGGGGGGTTCCCTTGGAACGAGGGGATTTTGTGGAAGGAGATAAAAGTCCTCCCTTCATCTCACCGGCTGATGGGACTCTAAAAAGCTGCCAGTCTCAAGGACTCTGAAATCCATCTGTGTTCCAGTCCTGTCTCTCTGCACAGTGCCAGGAGGCAGTTTAGGGGTGCAGGGGATAGAATATTGTGCTGGAAAAATCAGGAGGACCTAAGTGCAAATCAGTCTCATAGTTACATCATCCTGGCTAAGTCACTTAATCTTTGCTTTCCTCAGTTTCTTAGGGATAATTATAGCACCTACCTAGGTGACACTGCGGATGAAGCCCACACCTGGAGTCAGGAAGACCTGAGTTCAAATGTGGCCTCAGAAACTTACTAGCTGTGTGACCCTGGGCAAGTCACTTAACCCTGTTTGTCTCAGGTTCCTCGTCTGTAAACTGAGCTGGAGAAGGAAATGGCAAGCCACTCCAGTATCTTCATCAATAAGATGCCTTCACGTGTACAGGTATCAGCACAATGTTAATGTTTCTGGGAGATAATAAATGGAACCCAACTAAGGGTAGAGAGAATCGGTTTGGTATCCCTCCGATGTTTCCTCCCTAGAAGCAACTGTCTCTCTGTTATTTTTCCCTAGTTATACTATATATAGCAGCTCCATATGTGACACTTCCAAAGAAACAGCTGTGCCCGAGTGATGACAGCTGCTCTTAGAGAAACAGCTTCTACTTGATGGCAGGAGGGATATGGAGGACACACCCCACACTACCCAGTACAGAAGGGCCAATCAGTAAGTACAGAACATAGTCATTTGGCTAGACAAGTGTACCGCCAAAGGAAAAATTAAAGACAAGCACAAAATCTGAGGACAAAGTGCATGTTCCTTTCTAAAAACTTACCAGAAATCTGAAATGGGAACTGTTACAAACTCACCTCTATGAGTTTCTACCGGAAGTTTTCCAAAATATGAAATTATCTATTACTGCTGTTTAAGGGAGGGGCGGGGGCAGAAGAATATTGGGAGCAGCATAGACGCAGACAGAAGACAGAAACTGAAGAATAAAAATATTTACATCCTTCTAAAACAAATACAAAAAAATCCCAAACTGGGTCACAGAGTCAGACACAACTGAAACAACTCAACACCACTACCAGCACCTCACAGAGTTGTTTCCAAATGAGATGTTTATAAAGTGCTTAGCACAGTGTCTAGTACTTAACAAATGCTTATTACCTTCCTACTCTGGGTCCGAGTTTCAGCTCTCTTCAGCAAATGACCCGGCCCAACCTCCAGGCACTTGTGCACCCAGTCTGGGCACAGCAGTCAAATGCTCCCTGTGGCGAGGATGGCTCAGTGATTCGCCCTCGATTTTACTTCCATCTTCTTCCCATACTGCACATCTCCCAACAGAAACTCTTCAAAGACAGTGGAAGAAAAATCTTGGGGAAAGCTTGGGGAAGTAGATCCTCTCACACCAGCATTCCTGAACCTGGGGGCCGCGTGTACCTCCTCCATATGCCCACATGGGCTGAAAGGGGCCCTACCTGGTCCTGGAGGACAAGGACAGGATAAGGTAAAGGAAGAGGAAGAGATGAGCTGTCACTGGACTCTATCTGCCGGGAAAAGCTTCTGCCAACTGGAGGCCAACCTGACCCAGGAGGCAGAGCCTGAGCCAGGTATGAGAAGGATGCCACTGACCCAGCATCCTGGTGAAAGGAGGGAAGTAGGATTATTCTCCGTCATGAAACCCAGGGTGCTGTCAGCACATGGCAGAGGCTGCCAGCCCAGAGCCTCCTAAAGAAAGAACCTGCTGTGAACAGAGAGCTGGCTGATTTGGAACAAGAGGATGTGTGGGTTCTAATTCTTGGCCTCAGTCTCCTCATCTGTAAAACGATGGGGCTGGAACACAGGACCGCCTCAGTCCCTTCCAACTATAAATCTCTGTGATCATGTGAACAGAGTGGGAGGTACCCAGGCCATCTTCGAGGGAGAGGGTAAAGATAGGGAGGCTCAGGGCCCGGAGAAGATGGCACTGGGATGGAGGGCAAGCAAAGCCCGGGCGCCCTCTGCTGGTGGAGGAGGGTGTGGTCCCAGCAGAGACCAAAGGGGCTTCCGGCAGGTCCAGCTCTCCTGCCCCTCCCCAGGGGAGAAAAGAAGAGACTGAAGAAAGAGAGAAGGAAGGATAGCAACAAGAGGCATGCGACGGATATGTGTCAGGGACTGTGCTGGGTGACAGAGATACAAGACAAAAATGAAACAAGCTCTGCCTTACTCAATGGGAGAAGCCAAATACACATCGCACACACATACACGCCAGGGAGAGCCAAAAAGGCCACACTGGAGCTCCTCAGAAGCAGAGGAATGCAGCCCGGGCATGAGGGACAGCGTCCCGTACGGGGACCAGCCGGAAGGCTAGTTTGGCTTGACCACAGTATGCACAAAGGCATCATAGTCAAGAAGACTGGAAGGTAGGTCAAGGACAAGATGTGAAGAGTTTTAAATGACAAACAGGGATCATGGAGTCAATCACGGGGGAAACAAGGAATCACTGTAAGTTGTGAGGTCAAGAAGTCCAGGGAGAGGGGATGAGGGCCTGAACTGGGATGATGGGGACCTGGTAGATGTAAAAACAGGACAAAAACAAGAGCTGTTAACACAAATAAGAAGGACATGATTTGGCAAAAAACTGGAGATATGGGGTGAGCAGCAATGAAGAGCCGAACAAGATGCCAAGGCTGGAAACCTGGGTGACAGGGAGGATGGCAGTGCCCACCACAGAGAAGGGAGGTTGGGGGAGAGGCTGAGGAATCCGAGATGTCCACCAGCCACCTAGTTTGCAGCTGACGATAGGAGACTGGGCTCAGGAGATTAGGGCTTGTTCTTCCTGCCCCACAGCACCTTGATGTCACCCTCCCTCCACTCACAAGAGCCATCAATCGAGCTTAAATCTCATTATCTCATCCCAGAATAAAAAGTCACATTGCAGGAGTAGCTAGGTGGCACAGTGGATAAAGCACCGGCCCTGGAGTCAGGAGGACCCGAGTTCAAATCCAGCCTCAGACACTTGACGCTTACTGGCTGTGTGATCTTGGGCAAGTCACTTAACCCCATTGCCTAGCCAAAAAAAAAAAAAAGTCACATTGCTACTTAATCAACTCCAGTTACCCCAATTACTGTCAGGGTCCACTAAAAAGTCCCGTTTGGTATGTAAAGGCCTTGACTAACGTGCTCCCTTCCTACCTTTCCAGTCTGGTTTTTCCCCAAATCAATGCAATACGATCAATGTGATACGGCACACATTACACAACCTAACGGTGTTGCACAGTGCAGACAGGGCCAGCCTTAAGGTCAGGACGTCAGTGGCTGAAGGTCTTCAGCTCTACGGCCTTGGCCTACTATTATCTTATTAACCTCTCGGGCCCCTAGGAGCTAATGCCAGCGACAGAGGAGATCCACATCAGTGGATCGAGCTTCCCTCACTGAGGAAATAACTGGTTTGGGCACATAAATGTGAAAACACCTACAGTATGTGGCATCATATGAGCCAGGACATACATATACATAGACCACAATGATTTTTGTTTCAACACCATGAGGATTCCCTTCACCAGAGTGATTTCGACCCCTCTGTGACTCGGCGGACAGCCTTCCTAAGAACTGCTGTGGCTAAAAACTTCGTCCCCTATGGTTCTCTAGTGAAGAGGAGGCTAGGCTGGTCTGCAGATCACAAACATACAGGCATCACTCAAAGCCCTCCTGGCTTGACCAGAGCTTGTCAGATACTGGACACCTGCGGGTGGAGAAGCGAAGCCGCCTGCCCAGATGTCACAGTGAATTCACCTTTCCGGGAGACTTTATTCTCTGCCTCAGTCTACAATCCAGTGCCGTGGCCCTCGTGGAGGTCCCTGGCACACGCCATTCCACCTTCCACCTCCAGGCAGTGCACTCTGGTGATCCCTGAGGCTTAAGATGCTCTCCTCATTCATTTCAGCCCCAGGAATCTCTGTCAGACTCAGCTGACAGCCCACCTTCTCGAGGAGGCCTTTCCCAATTGCCCTCCTACCCCCATCCCCACAAAGAACGTTCAGCTTCCATCTGCTCTGCAACAGAAATCCTGGACCTCCCTAGTTATTTCACCCAAGCCCCATCAGAATGCCAGTTCCTTGAGGGTAGGGGCTTGTTCTGCCTTTCTATGCATTCCCAGTGCCTGGACAATAACAAATGCTTAATAAATGTTTGTTGAATGACTGACAGATTGCAGATGAACCAGCAGAACTGGGAAGTGACTGAAACAGCCAAAAGGGAAATGAATGCTGCAGAATTCTAATGACCAGGCTGGGCCACAGAGAGGAAAGGCACTGTCCAAGGAGGACAGGGGGACATAACCGACTCCATTTCATCCTCTATTTGCTAGGATTGTTTGGTTTTGCCTGAGTGACGCCTCCTGGACTTGTACTGAATGTGCCTCCTTTGCCATCTCTCTTCTCTCCACTATAAAAAAAGTCACAGGTCTTTGACTAGTCCCAGGTGCCATCCCTTCTCTTTAACTTATCTAATGGGGCAGTTCAGTCGTTTTCAGTCGTGTCCGACTCTCTGTGACCCCACTGAGGGTTTTCCTGGCAGAGATTCTAGAGTGATTTGTCATTTCCTTCTCCAGCTCTTTTTACAGATGAGGAAACTGAGGCAAACAGGGCTAAGTGACTTGCCCAGGGTCACCCAGCTAGGAAGTGTCTGGGGCCAGATTTGAACTCAGGAAGAGGAATCTTCCAGACCTCAGGTCCAGCACTCTCTCCGACGTACCACCATTTACTTTTCAAATACTTTTCTGCCTGGGTGCTCCATCGTATCATGCCCAAAGGTGCTTTGTAAAAAACTTCCCTTTTGTTCTGCTCTCTGGGTCACGGAGCTCAGGCCAGACTCTATACAGTCACCTGCAGAACTGAGCCCCACACGTCCATCACCACTGAGTGACAATGCGTGTGACCCTCCTGGGTGGATAAAGTGCAGTGGAGCTGTCTGTCTGTATCCTGTGCTGGTGGACTGGTGCAGCGGTCAGCAAGGACCCAGAAAATTCCTGCAACAGCACCTTCCCTCCTTCTTTGCAAAGCTGGGGGCCTATGGCTATGAAACGCAGCACAGAATCTTTCAATGGTTTGTGGTTTCAGGTGATTTCTACCATTTCCCTTCTTTGTTATAAGGGACAGCTCTCTTCGAAGGGAGGGGGGAATTCATTAGGGAACTGTACATTGTGGAAAACCTAAAGATACTGGTAATTGCTTTTTTTTTAAAACAAAGTTAAGAAAATTCCACAACAGATTATTAAAAAAAAAAATGAAGTGGTGGAGCCAGAGAGCCTCCAAGGTATCCCCTGTGAACCGTCTACAATCTATGCCAACATGTCTCCCCAAGCTCAGGAAGAGCCCCAAATTCCCAGCCTTTCCTCTTGGGCTCAGGTTCATAACAAGGGTCCATGGCCCTGCTCCTGCCCCACAACCCTCCCCAAGCAGTAACAGCTGGGTCTCCTCTGCTGCCTGTGGGGTCCCCCAGCGTGGGGTCCCCAGGGAAAGGCAGGAGGGGAGTACCAGGGGAGTTCATAGTTCTCAGAGCTTTATCTTCTAACAAAAAGCAGTGGGGGGGACATGAAAATCGAAATCCCCTCCTCTCAAATGTGTTCGTGCTGGGCTGCCATTACCCTGGGCAAGTTCCAGACTGGAGTGTCTTCCCAGGTCCCGAAGCCACAAGGAGCCACTTGTGAAGTCAGCCCCTTTTGACAAACAAATGAAGGCACCTGGCAGAAAGGCAATGGCCTCGAGGCCCCTACCTAGGGAAGAACATTAAGGGAAACAAGACAAAAGCCCAGCTCCCACACACTAACAAAATAAGCACCTACTGTGTGCAGAGCCCGGAGCCCAATCAGATAATGATAACAGCTAACATTTACACCGCATTTAAAGGTTCGAAAAGTGCTCTCCAAACATGACCTCATTTTATTCTCACAACAAGGGGGGAGGGGCGCTATCGACACCCCCATTTTACAGAACAGGCGCCTTAAGACGTCAAACAACCTAGCGCCTACAGCTACTCGCCTCTCTCCCAGAGGCTCTGGGGGCAGGTCAGACCCCAACCCGGCCCCCTCCAGGGAGGCAGGCGCCCCCACTCAGCAGCACGTCTCTGGCCTGCCCTGCCGTTCCAGGGGGTGGCACGGTGCCCTCACACAAGGACCAGCCAATCCGCCAGCACCCGCAGCCCTCCACGGCCCGGGGGGCTGGGTGCATGCCGCGGACCTAAGCGGCTTCTCCCCCAGGGCCAGCAGGCAGGCAGCCGGCCCCAGGTCAGTGCCTGAACCTCCCGGGAGGCCGGGAGGAACCCCGACCCTTTGTTAAGGAGCTCGGCCAAAGTCACCCACCGACCCCCAGGACAGGAGCGCCCAGCCGAGGTTGGCAAAACACGCCGAGAGACGGGAGGAGGCGGCGCCAGACGGGCCCCGGGCCCCGGGCCCCCGGCCGGGCATCCCCGGGAGAAGGGCTCCCTCCCGAGCCACCACCGCCTGAAAAGCGGCCGAGCCCGGGGTGCTCAGGGCCAACAGCGCCCCCAGACCCAGGAGGGGCTCTGCATCCACTGCCCCAGCAGCCCCCCGCCGCAGACGCCTCTGCAGCCCCAGGAGCAACTCCCCCCGGTCAACTGCCCTCGCAGCCATCCCCCCATCAAATGCCCCTGCAGCCATCTCTGCCGAGACCGGGAGGCACCTCTAACAACTGCCTCGGCAGCCCCCGCAGCCACTCCCGAAGACCCGGATGGAAAGCCCCCCCACCCCCGACCTCGGCACAGTCAAACGGCTCGGCGTCAAACACAGACACGCTTTCTCCACAGACATAGCGTCAAGGAAGGCTCATTACCCTCTGCGCTGCCGCCGCCGCTGCCCAAGGCCGCAGGGGGCCCGTCCATCCGCTCGGCCGACGACGGTAACCGCAGCCGACGCCGCTCTGACGCAGGCACCCGAGGCGACCGTTTTTTTTGTTTTTTTGTGGGTTTTTTTTGCCCCGTGACGCAACTTCCGCCGGGCCAAGGCGGGGGCGGGGACTGGAGAGCATGCGCATCGCTCCACGGCAACTGCTTCCGGTCTGCTAGCCACTGCGCTACTAGAGGCTCTTTTTGATTGGCTGCGGAGCAGGAAGTGGGGGCGTCTCCTCGAAGAAAGAGTCGGCTTGGGCGTGGCCTCGCGCCTGGTTGTCCTCGGAGGCCCTCTGGTCTGGCCTGTGTTTCTTCTGGCTGAGCCGGGCCTCGACCTTGCTGGGCTCCCTCCCTCCTTCCCTCGCGGGAGGCTCGCTCTCAGACCCCGGACCCGCTTCCCGCAGAGAAGCGCCAGGGGAGGAAGGTGCAGGCGGGCAACGGAGAGCTCGGGGCCCGCGGAGGGAGGTCGCCCACCAGGAGGGCAGCCGCCCGGGCTCTCTCGGTGCCTGGGTCCCTCCCAGACTCCGACCCCCGCGGACTGTGGGCTGTCAGGACCGGGGAGAAGGCCGCCCAGCCCCGCTAGGCTAGCCGAGACCCCCGAGGCTTCAGTTAGAAGCAGCAAGAGGGCGAGTCCACGTCGCCGGAGCCCAGGGGCTAGCGAGCTGGGCTGGAGTCAGGAAGACCCCCTCCAAACGCAAGACCCCTATGTGACGGAGAGAATGCTGCTGACCCTCTTTGGCCGAGGGAGCCAGACCAGTGAAAAACCTGGGCCCAGTCCTCCATGCATGTCCTGCTCTACTCATAGTTAGGAACGTTATAAAACATCCACCAAAACAGTGAGATGAAGACCGGATATTGTTCCATCTCCCAACTGTGCCCAAGCCCCTTTCCTGCAGCAGCCCATGGTCCCCATCCCTGCCCCCAGCATTCCAAGGGCTGGTTGGGGAACGCAGGAGTGGAAAGACTACAAGGGTGGCTTGGCTCTGGCCCACCCATGCCTTTCTCAACCCTCCCCCCAACCCCACTACCACAGGATCTAAGGCAACAGGCAGCCTCTGGGATCTGGAGTGGCTCTAAAGGCCACAAGGGTGGGAGTGGGGCCTGGGAGGGCAAGGCTGCTAGGGAGGAAGGGTCAATGTCTGGGGCAGGGAAAAGGAAGAGGCTCTTAGGTGAGGAGAAAATCAGGTATGAGCTCAGATCCTAGAAGAGGAACTATTTGGAGGGACTGAAGACATTGGGGCCACTGAGTCTGAGATCATCTTCCACAGGTGGATTTTCTTAATTTGTGGAGGAAACTTTAGAGAATACGCCCCCACTGGGAAGGGAGACAGCTGGGATGAAGAAGAAGGAGGTCACCTAGGATGGGGGAATTACATATATAAAACAATTTTTAACATCCATTTAAAAACAATTTTGAGTTCCAAATTCTCTCCATCCCTCCCCCTCACTGAGAAGGGAAGCAGTTTGATATAGGTCATTCTTGGGCAGTCATTGACATCAATCAGTGGGAGCTAGGTGGCACAGTGGATAAAGCCGTGGCCTTGGCATCAAAAAGACTTGAGTTCAAAATCAGCCTCAGACACTATAGCTGTGTGACCCTAAGCAAATGACTTCAGCATCTGCCTCAGATGATCCTCATCTGTAAAATGGAAATTAATTGTTATCACTTAATAAATTATTATTAAATAGCATCTACCTCCCTAAGATAATATAAAGTTCTTTGCAAACCTTGAAATGCTGTATAGATGTTGTCATCATCTGTGATCTTTGGGATTAAATGCAGACAAGGGTGGATGCCCCGGAGCCAGAGTTTCCATTGCCTACCCAGAATGTAAGGGAGTTAGGCTTTTAATCTCTCCAGCAAAAGCTCTGTGGAAAGGTTTGGGACTCAAATTCACAGAGCATGGAGAGGCAGGAGCTCAGAGCCTGGCCATCTCAAAGGACCTGGAGACTATTCCTCTTCTTGCCAGAGTGGGCACTGGGTGCCAGTGTGGGCAGGCACAGCTGTGGCAGCACCTCAGTAATAAGGAGAGGAATCTCTGAGGGGTGGAGAGTGAGAAAGGGATGACCAGAGAAAAGGGGATGAGCATGAAGACACCAAGCCCCTCAGCCCCTCACTGAGCAGCCTCACCATTACCGGATCCTTCCTCCTCATCTTTGCCCAACCAGCCTGCAGACACAGGTAGATCAGGCCTAATTCTCCTGCATGTGCTCCATCCGAGTCAGAGCTCCCAGAGATAGCCCCTGCAGGGTTCAGTCCTCTCCTCTCCTCCAAATCCTTCCCCTGTTTTCTCTGCATCTCAGAAAATGTTAGATTGTAAGCTCCTAGAGGACAGGGACTGTCTTCTGCCTCTTTTCGTGTCCCCAGTGTTTAACACAATGTCTGACATATAGTAGGTACTTAATGTTTATTGAATGAATGAATGAAATGAACCATGCTCTGGCTCCTCGGAGCCTAAGATGAGATCCGCCACAAAGAAGGGAGAGGCAATGTGAAGAATAAGGGGTGTCTGAGCCCTTTGGGGTGCTTTTATTTTCTCTTTGTAGTCATGGGACATCTGTTCTCCTCGGGATCATGAAAGCTTCACCTTAGCACGCTAAGGGCACTCTCTGAGCGCTGGGTGGAATTTGCAAAGAGGCAGCCTCAGGAAAACCTTGCCGGCAATGAGAGAGAAGCAGTCCCAAAGGCAAATGGGCTGCCAGGGAGATGGTGCAACCCAAGAACGTTGAGCGGAGGCTGGACCGATGGTTGTCTCCTCTGCTGTGTGCTGGCTACGGCTCTGGACCGGAGTCAGGAAGACCTGGCTTCAGCTTCCCACTAAGACACCTCCGAGTGCGTGACCCTACGTGAGCCACTTCACCCTTCTCAGCCTCAGTTTCCTCATCTGTAAAAGGAGGATAAGAATAGCACCTACCTGCAAGGACTTTTGTGAGGATCAAAGAAGTTAACATATACAGCCAGTTCTCCCGTAATGTAAGAGGTCCGTTTGGCAGACATGTCCCACCCCTCGAGGCGCTCCGTATGGCTCCACCCCCTCCCCGGTTCTCCCCACTCCCACCGTAGCCCGAGGGGCCTCAGTGCCTGGAGCCGGGCTGCCCTGCTCCGACGCTGCCAGGCAGCCGGTGCCCACCTGCTGCTGGGAGCCAGACAGCTCTCTCTTCACCTAAATTCGCATTTCACAAATTGGACTCCCAGCAGGCGGTGGCAGGACCCAAGAGCCTGCCCGGGCTCCAGCTCAGGCTCAGGCTTTGGCTCCCAGCAGGGCAGCAGCGTGGGTGCCGCCTAGGTGCCAGGGTTCCTCCCCTCCAGGCACTGAAGCCCACCATGATGTCAGGCTGCAGAACCGCAGATGGGGCGGGGCCACGGGGGAAGGTCTGCTGAACCATCCACTTACTTTAAGCTAGAACTGGCTGTAAAACCTTTTGCAAATTAAATATGGGCGGAGTCTTATTCAGGCATGAACCAGGCTTGGCGGTCTCTGAGGACTTTCTTTTCCTGGGCTTTGCCCCTGGCTGCTGCATTTAGAAGGAGCCTAGGGACCTTCAGCAAGAAATAAGCACTCATGCTTGATATCTAGTTAGCAAGAATTATTAAATTAAGAAGTTGCTCGTCAATGGGTATTTATTAAATACCTACTATGTGCCCAGTGAGGCAGCTAGATAGCTCAATGGATGGAGCACTGGAGTCAGGAAGACCTGAGTTCAGATCTGGCCTCACACACTTACTAGCTGTATGACCCCGGGCAAGACACTTAACCTCCTTTTGTCTTAATTCACTGGGGAAGGAAATGGCAAACCACCCTAGTATCTTTACCAAGAAACCCCATAGTTACTATTGGTGTGATATGGTCCACGGGGTCACAAATAGTCAGACCCCGTTGAACAGCAACCGTGTGCCCAGTACTGTGCTACATGTCCTTCCTCTATGGCTGGGATTCTGTCCTTCCTCATCTCCACCTCTGGCTTCCTTTAAGTACCAGCTAAAATGTCATTTCTACAAGAACCCCATCCCCTTAATGTTAGCACCTTCTCTCTATAGGTCATTTCTGATTTATTCTGTATATACCTTAGCTATTCACAGGGCTTTGTTTATTGCCTTCCCCCATTAGAATATAAGTTCTTTGAAGGCAGTTACTGTCTTTTGCCTTTCTTTGATTCCCAGCATTTAGGACAGTGCCTGGCACACAGTAGATGTTTAATAAATGCTTGTTGATTTGGCATGCCTTGCCTTAAATGTAAAGTATAGTGTTGGTACCCATCCAGGAAAATCTTTAAGCCAAGAGGAAACAGCCATTCTTATGATCACATTTTAGTAAATGCCATTACTTCGATCTGATTGTCTTTACTGCCTGAATGTTCATGGGAAGCCAGCTCGTGCAGACTTTTGAGCTGTACTTTTTGGGATTCAGACCTGCAAGTTTCCCTAGAACCCTGGAGCAGCAGCTGTCCTATAACTTACTTGTCCAAGGTGGTTCAGATAGCATGTGGCATAGCTGAGTCAGATTCTCTGACTCCAAAGCCCAGTATTCCTTCTAAAGCGTCACTCTGTTTCTCAACCATAACCATAACAAAGAAGAATTTCACAGGACTTCACCTGCCACCGTCTTTTCTCTGGGGTGTTCCAGGAAAACTAGCACCTTTGGTCTGAGGGCTGCCGAGCCCTTTTCAGGTCTGCTCATCTACCTTTGGTGTTCACCTGGCACTCAACTCTCACCTGTGGCTCCAGGAAGCTTGTGCATTCTCCGCAGCTACAACCTGGTAAACCATCTGGGTAAATGGGCTAAACTAAGTTGAGGGTAACCAAAGGTCCTCAAACCGGATGGTGTGTTAGGGGGATGCCCACCCCAAGCATGTGAAGACTTCCCCTGGTGGAATGGGCAGATGAGAACAGTTTGTTTTAACGGCCATGAAGGTGGCTGAAGCAGGCTCTGTGGAGCGCTTGGAGCTTGTTCAGACACCAAAGACGCCAAGGTCATCACTGCATCCCGGGCTGT